TATATATATATATATATATATATATATATATATATATATATATATATATGTATATATCCCGGCAGCTAAGTACAGAAACTACTGAAGAACAGAAGAAAACTGATTAGAAAAAGCCAAAATTCAATAGAAAGGAAACTGATGTGTCTCTATTAGCTTTCTTTCAGTAAGAATTAGTTCAACATCATTTAATATAATTTTTTCTAACTGTTTCCATAAATTACACTTGGATATGATAAACAAGACTCTAAACATTTGTGCAATGAGAACAAAGGAGGATGTTCTTAGGAGAGGATCACAGGGGCTCAATAGCTACGTGCATCATATAAAATGATGCCTATTGAAATGAACTCAAGAAATAGAAAAAGAGGATTTTTTATTTTACTTTTTGTGGGTCCCCCATGCCCTTTTTTCACTGTTTTTTATTTCTATACCTTTCATCTTGAATGAAAGTTTATCTGATTTGGGGAAGGGAAGGGGAAGCACAGAACTGGTGGGACAAAGGATGAACTAATTCAACAGTGACACTAACAGACACTATGTTGGAAATGAACTATACAACTTAGGGGGTGAGAGGAGTTGGAAGGGGAAAAATTGGGAGAATTGTTGGCTCACACATGTAATCCTAGCAACTCAGGAGCCTGAGACCTGAGGATCATGGTTCAAAGCCAGCCCAGGCAGGAAAGTCTGTGAGACTCTTATCTCCAATAAACCAACAGAAAACCAGAAGTGGTGCTGTGGTTCAAGTGGTAGAGTGCTAACTTTGAGCTGAAGAGCTGAGGGACAGCGCCCAGGCCCAGAGCTCAAACCCCACAACCAACCAAAAAAAAAAAAAAAACTGGAAGGAAATGAAGGAAGAGGTGATACTGTTCAAAAAGAAATGTACTCCTGGAATGATGTATGCCACCTCTAAAGACAAACAACTATCAACCAAGGATAGTGTTCCCAGCTAAACTCTCCTTCATAAATAAAAACCTTCCATAGCAAAGAAAAAATAAAACAGTATATCTCCACCAAACCAGCCCTACAAAAGGTACGTAAAGATGTCCTAAACACAGAAAACCAACAAGATCACAATAAAGGCCAAGAAACTGCACCCAAACTGAGAATCCAAGAACCATATCACAGCCCCCCAAGAAGGTGGATAATATGGCAGGAACTACCAAACACCTCTCAGTACTAACTCTTAACATTAATGGACTTAATTCTCCAATTAAGCAACATAGTCTGTCTAGTTGGATTAAAAAGCAAGATCCTTCTACCTACTGCCTTCAAAAGTCACACCTTGCCCATAAAAACAAGCATATTTTGAAAGTGACAAGCTGGAATAAAATCTACCAAGCAAATAGCCCCCATAAGCAGGTGGGAGTTGCAATCCTAATATCAGATAAAAAAGACCTCAAATTAAAATTAGTGAGAAGAGATAAAGAAGGTCCCTACATACTAATTAAGGGATCTCTCCTTAAGGAGGATATTACAATTTTAAATATCTATTCACCAAACAACAAAGCACCCAAATTTATCCAAGAAACATTACTTTCCCTCAAATCTCACATAGATCCAAAGACATTAATTGTTGGGGACTTTAATACACCACTTATCCCCACTAGATAGATCAACTTGGCAAACACTCAACAGAGAAACCACAGATCTAAACAACTACATAGATCAACTACATTTAACAGACATCTACCTAATATTTTAACCAACATCACCAGAATACATGTTTTTCTCAGCAGCACACATAACAGTTTCCAAAATAGACCACATTTTAGGTCACAAAGCAAACTTGTCCAAATTCAGAAACATTGAAGTTATGCCATACATTCTCTCAGACCACAAAGGAATAAATTAGAACTCAACATCAAAAGCCAACAAAGAAAGTCCTGTAACACATGGAGGCTGAACAACACACTGTTGAATCACCAGTGGGTCATGGAAGAGATTAGAAATGAAATTCAAATGTTCATGATAGTCAACAAAAATGAACACACAAATTACCAGCTCCTCTGGGACACAACAAAGTCAGTACTCAGAGGCAAGTTTATAGCACTGAGTTCCTAGATCAACAAATTGGAGAGCTCTGAAACCAACAATTTAATGGGAAATCTGAACCTCCTTGAAAAAGAGCAGCAAGCTAAACCCCAATCCAGTAGACAGAAAGAAATAATTAAAATTAAATCAGAATTAAACAAATTAGAATCCAAAAAAAAACATACAAAGAATCAAAAAACAAAGAGTTGGTTCTTTGAAAAAATTAACAAAATTGACAGACCCTTAGTAAATCTTATCAGAAAAAGAAGAGAACACACCCAAATAAACAAACTCAGAGATGAGAATTGAAACATCACCGAAGAAACAACCAAGATTCAGAACATTATAAGGGAATACTTCTCAAACTTTTATGCTAATAAGGTTGAGAATCTGAAGAAATGGATGATTTCCTAGCAAATATCGACATGCCAAAACTAAACCAAGATAAGTTAAACCAACTTAACAGACCCATATCAAGCATTGAAATAGAAACAAAAATCAGAGACCTCTCACCTAAGAAAAGCCCAGGACCAGATGGATTTACAGCAGAATTCTAGAAGGCCTTCAAAACAGAACTCACAGCAATACTCCTCCAACTCTCCAATGAAATTGAAAGAGATAGTTCATTACCAAACTCTTTCTATGAAGCTATAATAACCCAAATCCCAAAAACAGGCAGGGACTCATCAAAAAAAGGGAACTATAGACCTATTTCTTTGATGAACATTGATGCAAAACTTCTCAACAAAATTTTGGCCAATCAACTTCAACAATTCATCCAAAAACTCATACACCACACTCAAACAGGGTTCATTTCAGCGTTGCAAAGTTGGTTCAATATACACAAATCAATATAATTCATCACATCAACAAGAGCAAAGATAAGAACCACATGGTCAATAGATGCAGAAAAAGCATTTGACAAGATCCAACACCCCTTTATGATGAAGGTTCTGGAAAAATTAGGAATCCATGGAACATTCCTCAATATAATAAAGGCTGTATATGACAAACCTACAGCCAGCATTATAATTGATGGTGAAAAGCTAAAGTCATTTCCTCTTAAATCAGGAATGAGACAAGGATATCTACTCTCTCCACTTCAATTTAGTATTAGAATGCCTAGCTACAGCAATAAGACAAGATGCAAACATAAAGGGAATCCAAATAGGGAAAGATGCAATAAACCTCTCCCTCTTCACAGATGACATGATATTATTTAAAGAGTCCCACAGACTCCACTCCCAAATTACTCAAGCTGATTGGAAACTTTGGCAAAGTAGCAGGGTATAAAAATAACCCTCAAAAATCAATGGCTTTTCTGTATGCCAACAATGAGAAGAGCACAGCTGAAATGAGGAAAGAAACTCCTTTTGTAATAGCCCCACAAAAAATAAAATACCTAGGAATTAACTAAAGAAGTGAAGGGGGGCTGGGAAGGTGGCTCAGTGGTAGAGCGCTTGCCTTACATTCCTGAGGCCCTGGGTTCAATTCCTCAGCACCACATAAGCAAACAGAAAAAAGCCGGAAGTGGTGCTGTGGCTCAAGTGGTAAAGCGCTAGCCTTGAGCTGAAGAGCTGAGGGACAGCGCCCAGGCCCAGAGTTCAGGCCCCATGACCGGACCCAAAAAAAAAAAGAAGAAGTGAAGGACCTCTACGATGAAAACTTTAAAAAACCTTCAGGTTTGTAAATCAAAGGAAATCAAAATAGAACTTAGAAAGTGCAAAAACCTCCCATACTCCTGGATTAGAAGAGTCAACATGGTGAAAATGGCAATACTTCCCAAAGGCTATCTACAAATTCAATGCCATAC